TGCCTCCCGTAGTTGGGTCAAATTCATGCTGGTTGCTTCGGTGACCCTGTCCAGCCATCTCATCCTCGGTCGTCCCCTTCTCCTCTTGCTGTCACACTTCCCTAACATCAGGATCTTTTCCAGGGAGTCTTCTCTTCTCAGGGGTTCAATACCCTATGTAAATGCTCACCCTGTCCCATGACTACAAGAAACAAAATAAATTATGCAAACTAAAGCTCATTCAAAATCTTCATTTGCATAATTTGGAAAACGGTTCTGAGCAGCATTTAAGATCATCAGAGGAGAGCCCTCCTTATGGTCCCATTGCTAGTGCAAGCTTGCCTGATGGGGACATGAGAGAGGGGCTTTCTCTGTGGTAGCTCCCAGGCTGTGGAACGCTCTCCCTTGGGAGATCAGGCTGGCACACCTCCCTTTTATCCTTCCGCCGACAGCTGAAGGCCCACCTTTTCAGGTAGGCTCTGAAACAATCATGATCGAGTCCCCAAATGCCAAGTTTATGAGAAAATCCATGGAGGCTTGAGACAGGTTGAGACAGCCTGAACTGAGGTCTGTGAAGAACTTAGCAAGGATTCATTACATCTCTAAACCTGACTTTACTTCAGGGGATTCGTCGACTATAGCTTTTGTCACATTTATTCTGTAACAAAAAAGCAACCTTTAACGATGCTGTTGTGAATGGGAAATGGCTAAGTTTTCCAGTAAATCATTTCTATCCCAAGCTTTTTTTACACCCAAAATTGTCCACCTCAACCAACCTTCTCAGTGGCTGCTCCTAGTCTCTGGAACTCTCTCCCACTGGAGGCCAGGTTTGCTCCATCTTTGCTGTCCTGCCGCAAGCGGAGAAAGACCTTTCTCTTCAGGCAAGCTTTCCCTCTGTGACTGATCGCTTGAGGAGTGTTTTTTTTTTAAAATAGATTGTTGTACCCTGTTGCTTTTAAATATGTTGTTAGTATTGATTTGATTTCTCTTTTGAAATATAATATTTCTTTAAACCCTTTAAAATCTTTGTATACTTACTGTTTTTGCTTTCAATATTGTCTTTTTAATGAGGAAACTCAACTTGGGTCCTTTTTAAGGAGAAAGGCAGGGTAAAATATTTTAAACAAATAAACAGATAAATAATGGCATAAAACCTGCACCTATTTTCCCCCTGTGACTGGAATGGCCACCTAGGATAAATAATTTTAATGGTACAAATCGCTAGAGACACCTTCAGTTTAATTCTTTCAAGAAACGGCAGGGATAAATCCATTGCTAAACTCGCCGAACAGATCAATACATGCAATCGAGCTAAACAGCCCTCACTCTGGTTTCTTTACAATTAACTAAATTGGGGGTCAGCATATGACATCAATGGAATACCATCTCCCGGATAATGCCTAATTTGGTTTTCGGCAACCACAAAATCATTGTAGGGCAGATATAGGTAATCTACGAACGACAGGGAGATGGTCAGGTCCGTTTCGTCCTGCTGAGATTTATACATTGGCAGGAAGAGGGTTAGGAAATATGACAGAGAGCCTGAGCCCACTAATAAAAAAACCCCAAACCCTATTTATATTAGGTACAGCATGTTCTAGGCTGATTAATTTTGGATGATGACACGAGGATTGGGCAAGCACGGATGAATATGAAAGGGGGTTGTGTTATTTTCAGCAGCAATGAGTTGCTGGTTTTTTTGGGTTTTTTTGCTCCTCTGCAAGAGATCTACTTATATAAACGCAGATATGGAATCCATATAGTGACATCCATTCCACGTGTGTGAACTAGAGAGGGACACGAACCGGAAAAACCTGCGATTTGTGATGATTCGTGGTTCGCAGCTACTCCGAACCACCCTCGAACCTCTGGAAAAAACCAACTGGTTCCTGGTTTGTTTGTTTTTCCAGTTTGTACCTGGAGGGAGGGGGACCTACCGCCTCTGCCCCTGCCCTCCCCATTCCCATGGCCCCCGTCACCGCCCCACATGGTCCTGCCACCACCACCTCTTCCCCTTCCGCCCTCTTCAGAGACAGTGAGCCCAGTTCCCAGAAGCCAAACCACTGTCTCTTCACATGTGCACACCTAGAAGCTGATACACATGCACATGTGCAGAGACAGCCGGCCTGGCTTCCAGGACCCTCTGTCAATGGTTCCCCCCCCTCCTTCCTGCTTTCCTCTCCATCTTTGGGGCTGGAGGTGAGAGCCTAGAGAGGAAAGCAGGCAAAAAAGAACGCAGCTCTTCAGAGCTTCTCTCATGGCGGCGTGGGTCGGCCAGCCCAAAAGTGAAGAGCTGCTTTTGCGTCATCTGCCTCCTGCTTTCTGCCATGCCTTTCAGGGTGCAGGTGAGAGCCCAGAACACAGGGGCAGCTACAAGGCTTGGGAAGGTCACCCCCATTCCCCCCCGCTTTACTATGTTGGGAGGTCAGAGGGGGCATACTTCAATGGAGCATCACGTGATGCCGCTGGGTCAGAGACGGCAGGCCAGGAAAAGAGCCTGAGCATCACAGTAGCAGAGTCTGTTTTTGACACACCTAGGGTAGCTCCGTGGTGGCACTGCAGGTTAAACTGCAGAAGTCTCTGTGCCACAAAGTCAGAAGACCAGCAGTTGTAAGATTGAATCCATGCAACGGAGGGAGCTCCTGTTGCTTCTCCCAGCTCCTGCCCACTGTTAGAAAGCATGTACAAAGGCGAGTAGATAAATAGGTACCACCTCAGTGGGAAGGTCATGGCATTCCGTGCCTAGTTGTGCTGGCCACGTGACCACAGAAACTGTCTATGGACAAATGCTGGCTCTATGGCTTGGAGACGGGGATGAGCACCACCCCTTAGAGTCAGACATAACTGGACTCAAGGTCAAGGGGAACCTTTACCTTTACCTAGGGTAGCTCCACCAGTATGCATATTTATATTGCAAGCTGAAGAAATGAGTGACTTCCTCTTCGCTCCAAAATTATAAGTCCTCTCCTGGCTTTTTGAGGAAACAAAATATCCCTTACTTTACCTAAAACGTGAATGCAAAACTTACTTTCCAAGACCAAACCCACGATGTTGCATTTCCCAAGGTTCTCCTTCTTGTAGTTCTTTACATGCCTTCATTGTTTCTCTCTACAGCCCCCTCTGTGTGCTCCTGGGTTTCTCCTTTCCCAGGTTTGCATGTGCAAAATACACATGTGAGTTCTGCGCTGTCAAGTGGGAAACAACATATAGCCACCCTAGTAACGCCTAATGAGGAAAGTGAGGTATTTAAAGAGTGGTTTTATCATTTCTACTCCCCTAGTGAGTTGCCATGATCAAGCGGGGATTTGAACCCCACTCTCCAGAGGGATGCTCAAAAGTAGGGATACAAGTCTTTCCTTATTGCATTCTCCAAGAATCATAGAATCATATAAGAATGGGGTTGGAAGGGGCCTGTAAGGCCATCAAGTCCAACCCTCTCCTCAAGGCTGGAATCCAAGTCAAAGCAGATAGGACAGAGGGTCGCCCAATTTTTTTTAGAGCCATAGAGTTGGAATAGACCACTGAGGCCATCCAGTCCAACCCCCCGCCATGCGGGAACATCCATCAAAGCACTCCCAACAGACGGCCATCCAGCCGATGCTTAGGTAAAGGTTCCCCTTGACAATTTTTGTCCAGTCGTGTTCGACTCTAGGGGGCGGTGCTCTCCCCCGTTTCCAAGCCATAGAGCCAGCGTTTTGTTCGAAGACAATCTTCCGTGGTCACATGGCCAGTGCGACTTAGACACGGAACGCTGTTACCTTCCCACCGAGGTGGTCCCTATTGATCTACTTGCATCTGCATGTTTTTGAACCGCTAGGTTGGCGGGAGCTGGGACAAGCGACGGGCGCTCACTCCGTTGCGTGGATTCGATCTTGCAACTGTTTCGTCTTTTGACCCTGCAGCACAGGCTTCTGCGGTTTAGCCCGCAGCGCCACCATGTCCCTGTAGCCGATGCTTAACAACCTCCAAAGAAGGAAACCCCACCACCTTCGAGGCAGCCTATTCCACGGCCGGACAGCTCTGACCGTCAGGAAGTTCTTCCTAATGTTCAGATTGAATCTCTTTTCCTGTTGTTTGAAGCCATTGCTCCGTGTCCTAGTCTCTGGAGCCCCAGAAAACAAACATGGCCCTTCTTCCACATGACATTTTGAATGTGTTTGAGAGCTCACCACCTCCTGAGGTCATGGGGTCCATTGTCGTACTGCTCTAATCGTTGGGAAGTTCACCCAGATTCTTTCCTTTTTGAAATTAATAATCCCACCCCGACACTTTTCACCCTGGGGGGACCTTTGTGCGAAAAATTGGCACATAAATTTGCACAGTGGCCTCTGCGGGAAAAAAACAAACAAACATACACATCCTGTAGTTGGGCTGTGAGATTGTCGTTTGAACTTGGTACCAAACCATCTGACCAGCAAGGAGTGTTGAGAACAGCTGAAAACTCTCTCCTTGATTGTGTCTGTGTGGATTCTTGTTTGAGTGTTTCTTTACTCAGTGTGTTGTTAGTCCGTGGAACGCCTTGCCACAGGATGTGGTGACAGCATCTGGCCTAGAGGTCTTGAAAAGGGGATGGGACAGATTCCTAGAGGAAAGGTCCCATCGCAGGTGACAAGCCATGATGGGGATGTCTAATCTCCAGGCTTCAAAAAAGAAGGCACCTCCAAATGCCATATGCAGGGGAGGGGTATCAGGTATCTCGTGGGCTCCCCAAGGCATCTGATGGGGCCACGGTGAGATATATGGAGCTGGACTAGAGGGGCCCTTGGCCTGATCCAGCACATGGCTCTTCTGAGGTTCTTATGAGATCCCAAGCCAGAAGATCAATTGATGATGCCTGATTCACAATATAAGTAGGTGATCTTGAATAATCATGATTATTGATCATACTTAATCTCGTCCCCCACTACAAAGGGGAAAGACTGCAAGGATTTGCAAGCCATCCAATGACTTTATACCCACGTCTTATATTAAAACTAAACTTACAGAGAGAAGGGAGAAGACGGAACGAACGGAATAATTACCTCCAGACTGAGATGTAAATGATAATCAAGAGCAAGAGGGTCAAGGAAGACACTCCACAGCCAACGATTAAGGTGACCGACGGGACAAGCACTTTTTCCGGATTCTGAAAGAGAGAAAACAGAAACACCGGGTACTAGAAGCGGTAGCGCCTTGACCTCCCTCCTGCGATAATGTTTTCGGTAGGAATTTTATCTTCAAAATTCGAGCCTTTTTCCTTTCTGATTAGGCTACTGTAGTTTTGCTGCTGTGGCCAGTTCGTTTGACCCTAGATTGCAGCTTGTTCAGCTGTCATTTCCCTTTGTGCGGGAGGGGGAAACAAAACGGTCAGGGAAGAAAGAAAAACTTTCTTCTGACAATTTCCAGTAAAGTAACCCTAATAGTCTGCTAAAGTTGCTTTTTTCCCCCTCTTTCCTTTTGCTGATTTATTTTAACCATTTCCCCCACACTGTTCGCAATGTTTTACACACACATTCTGTCCAGTTATCTTCTTTGTTACCCTGTTCCTGTTAGGTGCTGCCAAGACACTTCCAATTTATTAAGTAGTTTCCTTTCAAGCAGCTTCCAATTAAGAAGCTTCGAAACGTGATCTTCCCCTTCTATTTGCCAAGAGGTGATGGGTCCGGTGGCCACGATTTTTTTTTTTTTTTTTTTTTTTTTGGCAGCAATTTCCAAGTTCTGCCATATCCTTTGGGAGGGTGCTCCATTGTATGGATTCTGCCCCTCCAAATGTCCTGATTCCTGTCATGTCCAATTGCAGGGATCACACTAGCTCAACATGCATTCTGCCAAGATCTGGTCACAGACAGACACGTCTGCTGGGTTACAGTTCTTAGCACGTGGGATCCTGGGTGTTTGGGAAGCTGTAGTAAAAAAAAAAAAATTCCCCACCTTTGCATCATATTCTGCAAACTGGATATTTAACCCTGTACAACAGAAATTCCCAACTTTCGGCCGTGGGATCCTGGGTGTTTGGGAAGCTGTAATTTAAAAACAAAACAAAACAAAAAAAAAACTCCCCACCTTTGCATCATATCCTGCAAACTGGATTTTTAACCCTGTACAACAGAAATTCCCAAACTTCGGTGACCCAGGTGTTCTTGGACTGCAACTGCTGTGCTGGCCGGGGTTTCTGGGAGTTGCAGTCCAAGAACACCTGGGTCATCCAAGCTTGAGAACCACTGCTTTCCAAGATGTTCGGTGAAATCACACTGCCTGATCACATCAGAAAGAGTCGATTCAAACAAGAGCAATCTCCCCTTTCAGCGACCCTTCCATTTGCCCGGGAATTGCTCCATCCTGGCCCAAGAAAATAGTACGCCTACAACTGGATCAAAGAAGTTCAGCTTAGATATAGATCAGGGTTGGAGTGGAGGGCATTTCTCCCTACGCTGTGTGTGACAGAATATATAATTATGTCACCCCAGCATGTATATATGTCTATATAGGAATGAGATGTGTTTGCATATGAGAATATGCATAACCAAGCAGATAGGGTTGAATGTCAGCCATTACTGTATTTTTCCACATATAAAGCTACACTTTTTCCTAAAATAATTAGAGGAAAAATAGAGGGTCATTTTATACATGGTAGTATACAGTGGTGCCTCGCTAGACAGTTACCCCGCATGAAAGTTTTTTCGCTAGACATTGACCTTTTGCGATCGCTATAACAATTCGCAAAACAGTGATTCCTATGGGGGAATTTTGCTGGACAATGTTTGGTCCCTGCTTCGCAAACCAATGTTCACTAGACAACGATTTTGACAGCTCCCTTGCACTCATAAAATGGGTGTTTTCGGGACCTAAGCTATTTAAACAGCTGATCGGCAGTTCGCAAAGCGGCTTTTCTATGGCCGATCTTCACTAGACAACGACAATTCTTCCCCATTGGAACGCATTAGACAGGTTTCAATGCATTCCAATAGGGAAATGCTTTTCGCTAGACAATGATTTCACTAAACAGCGATTTCAGTGGAACGGATTATCGTCTAGCGAGGCAGCACTGTACAATTTTGCAAACAAAGTGGACGGGGAAAGCACCTTCTTCCCAAGAAAGTGGAGGGGGGAAGCAGGGATAAAGTGCTTGGATCCCTGCATCCCCCCCTCCACTTTCTTACAAAGAAAGAAAGTTTGGGTTAGAAAAGTGGGGACCGTCTTATACATGGGGGCATCTTATACATGGAAAAACATGGTGGGTGCTTGGAGAGCAACGGCCACATATGACAGGGTGTGGCTTATCTCCTAGTGGCAAGCTTTTCTGTCGATACATTTTCTGTTAGGACTTTCTACTGATGCGTGCCTGTTGTTACTATGTTAGTAAAACAAGATGTTATGAAACTATTACAAGTCCATCAATCACAAACCAAATCTATACCAAGCCAAATGTTCAAATACTCCAGTTTATTCTTCAAAATGTTATACAGTAAACGTTCTTGAAGTTTTACTGGGACCAAACTATTATTCTTTCCTCCGCTAGCACACACACATATGTCTCAAGGGAGAATATTATTTGTGATCTATTTATTGTTGTTGTTTTAAATACTTATGCTTTATCTGCTGTGTACAAACTATCAAAAATTTCAGCAGTGTGAATACCAGGAGATAGACTGCACTGGATGACTCCATAAGCATCCTGAATCACCCAGTCTGTTTCCTCATTGGATCACACCCTGTAGCTGGGGCTACACATTGCAAACAACCTTGCTGTAAGTGGTTGTTGTGGGGTTTTCAGGCTGTTTGCCCATGTTCCGGAGGATTTTCTTCCTAACGTTTCACCTGCTGTAAGCTTTTGACTGTGGGCAATCTGCAGATCAGAGTGAAGCCGCTCCTATCACACACCTGTTTTAATGTAGACAGAACTGGGCTATTACCTGCCCTCTGCAGGGCTTGTTTGGCCATCTAGACAGCAGTGACCAGGGGAACGCATGTTGGCAGCAGTGGCGGTAGTGGGTGTGTGTGTCTCACCCAGCCATCAAAGATGCTCCCACCGCTGCCTCTGTGCTCCCTGACTACTGCATTTCAGCCACTAACAGGAGAAGCAAATCCTGCAGACGAAGACAGGGTTTCTTGCCTGGCGGAAGCCCTACTGAACTTTATAATGGCACCCAGTGCACAATATTTCAAACCACAGTCGGGCATACGTCATGTGAAGTGAGAAAAGTCCATTTGCACTTGACACTGCTTGGAAGCAAGCATGCAGGGCCGGCCTACGTGTGTCCTCTAATACCAAATAATGACTGTATTATTTTAAATGTCCGCCACAGGTTCTGAAGGTAAGCCCCTGTGAGCTATGTGAGGAACTAAAGCCCTCTCTGTTAATCTTGCAGCAGGATAAGGATAGCTGGCGGCCCATAAAGGGTCAGGTCATTGGGTCACTGAATGCCGTCTTTGCCCATTGGACTCTCAACTTCGAATGAAATAAACGTCATTTGAAAACAAAATAGGCATGGTTTCCCCTGCATTTCCCTCCAATCCTCAGCATGAGACCGTAAGAATGCCGTCGCTTGCTCGTCTCCCAACCGGAAAAGCCGCAGGCATCGTACGGCAGGCATCGTACGGCAGGCATCGTACGGCAGAGCTGCCTGGGGCTCCGTCTCCCTGGCCAGCTTAAACAACCAGCTTAAACAAGGCTTATGATGTGAGACTTAAGGAGCTCACTGCCCTTCAGCTTAGGCAGTTCAGAGGTGACGCGGCGGTTGCTCATGTAGACCCTCCCCATGCCCGGAACCCAGTAAGGCAGTTAAATACCAACAGTAGAGCTCAGAGAGAACAATGTCCACTGGGCCTAGACTGCTGCCCAAGAGTGACAGGAACAAGGCTGTGTTGTTGGCACCTACATATCAACGCCAGGAGGATAAGAATTGAACTCAGGATGCCCGAGGGAGCCTTCAGGAGCACGTGCTTTCTACCTAGGCACAGCTGCAATAGACCATGTACCTCCTTGCTTGTCCACACAACTGAAGATGAAGAACGGCTACATTCTTCTCTGCACCAACAAAGGCAGCAGGGAAGTTGGTGAAAACCATGTTTTATGAAAATCCTAGAACCACAGAATAATGGAACGGGAAGGGATCTCTAAGGCCTTCGAGTTCAACCCCTTGCTCAGGGCAAGGATCCAAAGCAAAGCAAATCGGGCAGAGAGTTGCCCATTTTTCTCTTGAAGGCCTCCCGTTCTGTGCATTAATTACATCATCTGTAAGTTGTCCTCAAAAAAAGCTCTAGCGCTATGGGACAGTACATCAGTTGAAAAAAGAAAAAACAGCAGCACCAGTGGCAGCCATAACGACACCAACAAGCACAGAACTACAGTGACTGCAGCTTCATTGCATTAAAGCGTGTAAGAATCTGAAGCACGGAGTGGGTTGTTTGTGTCTTTCTTAAAAATCAATAGTCTTTCTGAGCCTGCTGTTGTGTAGGCGTACACCCTTTTCCAAGGCAAAAGGACACCAAATTTGCATGGATCAATTTTGCACAAAAGGGACGTGGTGGCACTGCGGGTTAAACCGCTGAAGCCTCTGTGCTGCAAGGTCAGAAGACAAACAGTCGTAAGATTGAATCGACGTGATGGAATGAGCCCCCGTCACTTATCCCAGCTCCCGCCAACCTAGCAGTTTGAAAGCATGCAAAATGCAAAAATGCAAGTAGATAAATAGGGACCACCTCCGTGGGAAGATAAACGGCGTTCCATGTCTAGTGATGCTGGCCACATGACCACGGAGGAGTGTCTGCGGACAAACGCTGGCTCTATGGGTTGGAAACGCAGATGAGCACCGCCGCCTAGAGTCAGACACGACTGGACAAATTGTCAAGGGGAATCTTTACCTTTACCTTATTTTGCACAATTTGTAGGGCCCTTTGGAGGAGATAATATGGTCCTTTTATCTCATGCTGGACTGGAAGGCAGTTTTTATTAGATCTGCAGATTATATTGGAGAAGATACATCCGCATATTTTAAGAAGGTAAAGGTAAAGGTTCCCCTTGACAATTTTTGTCCAGTCGTGTTCGACTCTAGGGGGCGGTGCTCATCCCCATTTCCAAGCCATAGAGCCAGCGTTTTTGTCCGAAGAGAATCTTCCGTGGTCACATGGCCAGTGCGACTTAGA